AGAGGTTTTTGCTATAGGGCACGTGCGCTCGCCAGACAGAGAGAGACAGAGAGACAGAAAGTGAGAAATCACCCCCCAGGGGGGATGGCCATGCCACAATCCCTTCTCCTCCATTCTCCTCTCAGGATCTTGGGCACACATGCACAGGCGCCCGGCGTGAGTTTTAAGCCACCGAGTCCGGGACATGAACCACAGTTGACTACGTGGGAGTCCAGCGACATAGCCATTACGCTAACTGCTGGTCCCGAGACTGACACTCTTGATGGTACCCTGTCCTTGCTGTGGTATTCATGAGCAGCAAGGGGTGCTGGCCTTGAGGAACCTGGGCTCTTTACCCAGCCTATAGGGAGATGGCACTCCAGTGTGGGTGTTTCTCTGTGATGAGCACCCACAGCCCAGTCTGGTGGGAGGCAGGGGCAGGGTCTCACTTGAGAGGTGAAATTCTTCATTGTCCCCAGTGTCACAGCAGAAACACACTCAGCCACAAGAGCTGAAAACTCACAGGAGACCCTAGAGAGGATCCAAAGAAAGAAAAGAAGAGATAGGAAGGCCCTTCATAGACAGTTAACCCTTAGGCTGGTAGAAGAGAAACAGCATTTAGGACCATGGAAGACCCTCTGCCCAGACTTCACCCTCCTGCCCCCCAGATATAGCCAAGAGCCAGGACAAGCCAAACACCAGCCAGCTATATCTGAGTTCTGAGCAGCCCCTTTCAGGGATTAGGACCACTGAAGACCTTCTGTCTAGACTTCACCCTCCTGCCTCCTAGATCTAGCCAGGAACCAGGAAAGAAATGTATAATTCACCAGAAACCACTGCAGAGGCACAAGAAATATGAGAAAACAAGAAAACATCTCTCCCCTAAGAGAAAAGAATAACTCCTCATACTCCACAGAGAAAACAAGGGAACTTGTGGAAATGTCAGATAAAGAATTTAAAATACTCGTAATTACAAAGCTAACAGAGATACAAGAGAAGAAAGACAACAAACTCCAGAAGATGCAAGAGAAAAGAAACAATGAGTTCCAGGACATGAGGAAGTTCTTTCATGATCTGAGAGAGGAAATACACACCATAAAAAAGAATCAAACAGAATTGTAGAGATGAAGGCTGTAATACAGGAAATTGAAACCTCCCTTTAAAGTATTAAAAGCAGATTATATCATGCAGAAGATTAAATCTCAGATGTAGAAGAAAGAACTTCTGGCCTAGAAAAGCTCACCAAAAAGTCTGAGAAAATAACCCAAAATAATGAGGATAACATACGAGTAATACTGAATACTATTAAATGCCAAACATCCAGATCATCAATATCCAAGAAGATGAAGAAACTAGTAAGGGCATTGATAAGCTATTCCATGAAATCCTGGAAGAAAAGTTTCCAAACCTAGAGAGGCGCTCAAATATCCTGGCCCAAGAAATACAAAGGACTCCACATAGAATCAACCCAAAAAGATCTTCTCCAAAGCACATCACAGCAAGATTGACCAAAACCACAGACAGAAGGAAAAAAAAAGAAAAAGAAAAAACAAACCCACAGACAGAACAAGATACCAAAATTGGCAAGAGAGAAATATCAAGTTACTTTCAAAGGATATCCCATCAGGTTAACATTGAACCTCTCTTCAGAAAACAATGTGAGCAAGGAAAGAATGGGGAAATATATTCAAAGCGTTAAGTGAAAAACAATTTCAACCAAGAATACTATACCCAGCAAGATTATCCTTCATTGAGGGGGGGGGGGGGAGACAAAAACATCCTCAGATAAACAAAATCTGAAAGAATTTACCAACACCAGATCAGCTCTACAAGAAGTGCTGAAGGGAGTGCTATACCAGGAAAACTAAAGTTGGACACACAGAAATAAGAGTACAAAAAACAACCAAGAAAATGGCCAGCCTAATGGTATAGATAAGTCTGGAGTTGAATGTTAACTTCCAGAGTTTAAATGGAAAGATCAGATCGCAGTAACACTGCAAATCCAATAGAAGAGAGATTAATTACATGAGACTGAACTGGTAAACTAGAATTTTATGACTTTTGACTAAAATATTACTGATTTTCTTCTATGCTTTTATTTCCATATTTAAGGATTTTTGTCTTCTCTTTAACTGTTAATAGGTTCATCTATCTACTATTTGAACTGAATTCTAACCTTTTTCCTTGCTTTAAGTCTTAAGCAAATTTCTCTTAAATTTTTTGAGTTCAATCTATTAAAACTAAAACTATTTTTCTTCAAATTAAAAACACATTTAAATAAAAAGAGAAGCAGTATTAATGGTGATGGTGATTCCAAAGCCTCTGGATTCATTCTACAGGCATTTATCAAAGGCCTGTTTTGCAAAGCCCTGTGACAGGTATCATGAGGTATTACAAACTTGAGGAAGCATCAACATTTCCCCTAATTGGCCTATGTTTTCTAGAGGAGTTAAACAATGTCCACACATATCACTGGAATGCAGGATAGCCTGGAGTGGATTTTGAGCAAGGTTGTAAAGAAGAGGTTTGGACTGGTCTTCCAGGGGTGTTCCCTGCCATCCTTATATTAAACAGAAACCTCTTCAGTCTGTAAGGCCTTGGGTTTCTCCCCTGGCCTGCCATGACCCTAATGACGGGTCTGCAAACAGAAAGAACTTGTTCATATCTGTTGACTTACTGATGGAGTGGAGTGGGGAAATAGCACGTTTCCCTAGGAAAACCTGGAATCCTGGGTTGTGCCAACTTCCTGGCTTAGAGAAGCTCAGGTGTCATGGGTGGCATGACTGGAGATGAAAAAAAGGCACCAACTACACACCAGAGATAGGAAGTATGACCTCTTGGATGGATTTGCATTCCTAGGCGGGCTCAGCCAGATGACCTAGGCTATGGAGCTGGTGTCAATGGGTTTTGTTCATTCAACGGACGCAAGGCATGTCAATATTCATATTTCAGCAAATGAGCTTAGAGCGTGCTGGGTGGTGGTGCTGCTTCCCTCTGTGGGCCATTCATGGCCCTACCCCCTGTTGCAGGCTCCACCCCTTGCCACTGGCCCCACCTCCCCCTGTCCCCAGCCACTCGGAACCTTTCCCGCCTAATCCGAGCCACCTCAGGTTCAGTCTTGGTGGGCCCCTGCTGGGATTGGTCCTCTGCTCTTTCCATAGAGGGCCACGTCAGACACTGTCATAGACCTTTGTTTCCTTGACAACCACTACCTTCACTACCACCTCCATCTTGCCAACCGCCTACTCTCTCGAAGCAGCTACCTGGGTGGCCACCATCTTCACTGTAGTCTCCTCAGTCTGATCACACCCCAGGTTGAGGTACCGACTGGTGTCATGTCTGCCACCGGAGATCAAGATCCAACCCAAGCGGGTCAGGAAGGCCCGGTGAGCCCTGAGGGAGCTGGCGACGGGATGAGTCGCGACTCCGGACCCCAGGGGGTGGCAGGGCCTGCAGCAGGTCTCAGAGAAGAAGAGGTTGAGCTGGCGGCCGCTCTGGCGGGAGCGCTGGAGGGAGGAGATGCTGAAGAGGGCGAATCTCCCTCCGGTTGAGGCAGATAGGAGAGAAATGGCAGCAGGCAGGAACATGATAGTGAATGCTCATCAGTTACCCACGGCAGGCTTTCGCTTTATGTTTCTGGATCTCGTCTACTCTGTTCTCCAACGCATCTACTTCAACGACCACATTCTGATCCGGCCCCGCGGCGGCGGCCCTCCCACGTTGATCAGTCGCCGGAAGACCTGGTCGATCCGCCCCCACTTGTGGTGCCCCAGAGGCTGGCATTGAGGGTCATGTCCGGGGAGGCCGAGGGCCTGACCGAGGCGGCCGCATCTATCGGAGAACCTGAGGAGCCAGCAGAGGGGGCCATGGCAGCTCAGGATTTGACCGAGCTGGCAGAGCAAGATATAGTGCAGCCGGCAGAGGAAGTCACAGAGGAAGCTGAGGTTCCTAAGGGTGAGGATCTTGCTTTGCTGGGCAGCAATGGACGGGACAGGCCAAGGTGGAGCGATGGCGGGTGGGTCAGGGCCCTACTTACACTTAAGGCCTAGCATTCCCAAGGAACCCGTTTCTATAGCTACCTTTACAATTTTGAGAAAATATGTGATGCCCTCTACCATCTTGACTTTAAGATATCTGAGATTATCAGCCTTAATTTATGAGCCCACGGATCAATGGCAGTGGGAAGTGGATGCTCAGAAAAGGAATTGGGGGAAAGTGAAAGGGATGGCTGTAGGAAAGGAAGAAGCAAATGGCATATCCCATTTTTGGTTCGTGGCTTTAAGTGTAAAAATTCTTAGAAAGGTGATTCCCAAAAATGATGAACTAATATGGGAGCACTTGGTAAAAATAAAATATTCAGAGGGTTCAGTAATCCATCAGCTTCACCATGGAATTTGTAATTGAGGTAAACAAATATTTTTTTCAGCAAAGTTCTGACCTAAACATACAGAATGCCACCAGATACAGTGATTCTGATCCCTTCTCCAAGGGACCAGAAGTCATCAGCAGCTTCGGGTAGGAAATTTACTGGCAAAAGTGAAATAATAATCAAGCAGCAGAAATATGAGGATCATGGTAGTGTTGCATCAGCCAGTAGGAAGGTGTTCAGCTATTCTTTTCTTGGTTATTTCTATCCTCCTGCTTTTCCTGAGGGTATAATACTGGATACCCCTACTGGTTATAAATTAGCTATTTTCTCCCATAAATGTCTGTTTCTAGAGTGTATAATGTACTACAGTGAGGAAGTAACTCAAGATAAGTATGACAACTGGAATGATGACGTTGAAGATGCTGACGGTGAAGGAGAGAAGGAAGAAGAGAAGAAAGCAGAGGAAGAAAACAAGGAAAATGGAAAAGAAGAACCTTAAAGGACCAGGATCCAGCAGAAGGCAGGACCAAAACATGCAGGTATTTGTATAACCTTGAGTATCACTCAACCATGGTTTGTATTTACATGCTTCTGAAAACTTTTTTTTCTTTTTAATCCTCCCAGTAAATTAATTAAGAAAAAGTTTGTTTAAAATCTGTCTAAAGCTTCAACTTAGGCCCAGATGCAGTTATGCAGGGAGTAGGGTCCCACTACATGAGGCTGGGTCACATGGAAGGCCCAGGTTCAGTTTTTGGAATGGTGGATGGATGCCTGTGATCCTAGCTAACTAGGAGACTGAGGCAGAGGATCATGACATGGTGAGATGCCAAAAATACCTCTTTCTGTTTCTTTCTCTTTTGCACTTTCTTTAAAAGATTAATTTAACCTACTTAGAATGTTACTAGAATACTCATGTACCAAGTTATATGAACTACACGTGTTTTGAAATATACTTCATGGCTTGGCTACTCATTTGTTTTTCTTTTTTCTTTCTCTTTCTTTCTTTTTCTTTTTGAGGTCTTTTGTCTTTTAGCTGTAAGACTACTAACAAGTGGTAAATTTATCAGAGTTAGTGCTAGTACCCAAGACCAATATTTGTTTATTTGTTTATTTAGAAAACAGTTGCCAGAAGCATCAGGTAAGGTGACTGGGCCCTACACCATATGGGTCTTCACCACTTGGTCATGGAAATGCAGTCTCTCACACTAACGAGGAGACAACACCTTTTAGAATGTTCTGCTTATAAATAGCAGAATATTAAAAATTTTAAGTAGGATAACATTTAATGAATAATACTAAATAATTGATTTCAGGTATAGATTTTTCTGTCTTCCATGACAATCAAAAGAAAAGAAACTTAATCACAGTGTGGTTATTGTTTATCACTGAAATAGTAATTAAGTCTTCAATTATAGCTTGTCCTTGGATATATTTAAATGAGAAACATTTTTCTCCTTTTCTGTCACATTTTTATAGCTGTGTATTTTATAATAATAGTTACTTTCCCATGTGGTAGATATAGAAACCAAGGGCCTGGAAGGGTAAGGGAGTCTAACGCTTCTGTTCCAACGACCACATTCTGATCCGGCCCCGCGGCGGCGGCCATCCTCTGTTGATGAGGCGCCGGCCTCAGTCGCCGGAAGACCTGGTCGATCCGCCCCCACTTGTGGTGCCCCAGAGGCTGGCATTGAGGGTCATGTCCGGGGAGGCCGAGGGCCTGACCGAGGCGGCCGCATCTATCGGAGAACCTGAGGAGCCAGCAGAGGGGGCCATGGCAGCTCAGGATTTGACCGAGCTGGCAGAGCAAGATATAGTGCAGCCGGCAGAGGAAGTCACAGAGGAAGCTGAGGTTCCTAAGGGTGAGGATCTTGCTTTGCTGGGCAGCAATGGACGGGACAGGCCAAGGTGGAGCGATGGCGGGTGGGTCAGGGCCCTACTTACACTTAAGGCCTAGCATTCCCAAGGAACCCGTTTCTATAGCTACCTTTACAATTTTGAGAAAATATGTGATGCCCTCTACCATCTTGACTTTAAGATATCTGAGATTATCAGCCTTAATTTATGAGCCCACGGATCAATGGCAGTGGGAAGTGGATGCTCAGAAAAGGAATTGGGGGAAAGTGAAAGGGATGGCTGTAGGAAAGGAAGAAGCAAATGGCATATCCCATTTTTGGTTCGTGGCTTTAAGTGTAAAAATTCTTAGAAAGGTGATTCCCAAAAATGATGAACTAATATGGGAGCACTTGGTAAAAATAAAATATTCAGAGGGTTCAGTAATCCATCAGCTTCACCATGGAATTTGTCTTTGAGGTAAACAAATATTTTTTTCAGCAAAGTTCTGACCTAAACATACAGAATGCCACCAGATACAGTGATTCTGATCCCTTCTCCAAGGGACCAGAAGTCATCAGCAGCTTCGGGTAGGAAATTTACTGGCAAAAGTGAAATAATAATCAAGCAGCAGAAATATGAGGATCATGGTAGTGTTGCATCAGCCAGTAGGAAGGTGTTCAGCTATTCTTTTCTTGGTTATTTCTATCCTCCTGCTTTTCCTGAGGGTATAATACTGGATACCCCTACTGGTTATAAATTAGCTATTTTCTCCCATAAATGTCTGTTTCTAGAGTGTATAATGTACTACAGTGAGGAAGTAACTCAAGATAAGTATGACAACTGGAATGATGACGTTGAAGATGCTGACGGTGAAGGAGAGAAGGAAGAAGAGAAGAAAGCAGAGGAAGAAAACAAGGAAAATGGAAAAGAAGAACCTTAAAGGACCAGGATCCAGCAGAAGGCAGGACCAAAACATGCAGGTATTTGTATAACCTTGAGTATCACTCAACCATGGTTTGTATTTACATGCTTCTGAAAACTTTTTTTTCTTTTTAATCCTCCCAGTAAATTAATTAAGAAAAAGTTTGTTTAAAATCTGTCTAAAGCTTCAACTTAGGCCCAGATGCAGTTATGCAGGGAGTAGGGTCCCACTACATGAGGCTGGGTCACATGGAAGGCCCAGGTTCAGTTTTTGGAATGGTGGATGGATGCCTGTGATCCTAGCTAACTAGGAGACTGAGGCAGAGGATCATGACATGGTGAGATGCCAAAAATACCTCTTTCTGTTTCTTTCTCTTTTGCACTTTCTTTAAAAGATTAATTTAACCTACTTAGAATGTTACTAGAATACTCATGTACCAAGTTATATGAACTACACGTGTTTTGAAATATACTTCATGGCTTGGCTACTCATTTGTTTTTCTTTTTTCTTTCTCTTTCTTTCTTTTTCTTTTTGAGGTCTTTTGTCTTTTAGCTGTAAGACTACTAACAAGTGGTAAATTTATCAGAGTTAGTGCTAGTACCCAAGACCAATATTTGTTTATTTGTTTATTTAGAAAACAGTTGCCAGAAGCATCAGGTAAGGTGACTGGGCCCTACACCATATGGGTCTTCACCACTTGGTCATGGAAATGCAGTCTCTCACACTAACGAGGAGACAACACCTTTTAGAATGTTCTGCTTATAAATAGCAGAATATTAAAAATTTTAAGTAGGATAACATTTAATGAATAATACTAAATAATTGATTTCAGGTATAGATTTTTCTGTCTTTAATGACAATCAAAAGAAAAGAAACTTAATCACAGTGTGGTTATTGTTTATCACTGAAATAGTAATTAAGTCTTCAATTATAGCTTGTCCTTGGATATATTTAAATGAGAAACATTTTTCTCCTTTTCTGTCACATTTTTATAGCTGTGTATTTTATAATAATAGTTACTTTCCCATGTGGTAGATATAGAAACCAAGGGCCTGGAAGGGTAAGGGAGTCTCACTTGTGGAAGGAACACAGACTTTTAAAGTGGAGAGATTTATTTAAATCTCAGAGAAGCTTCTCAAGAAAAGTAAGCAAGCAAAAAAAAACAAAACAAAAAAAAAAAAAAACAAGCATTTCTGGTGTAGTAAGAGAGAGACAAGGTTGGTGTGATCACATGATTGAAGCCATGGGTTACATGAGAACCCCAATATTGAAGGATTCAAGTTACAAGAGTAAATTGTGTCGTTCTCTACTTGTGAACTATAGCACACAAATGCAGCATGCATACATAGGGCCCATTTTCTTGGATTTAGAAAGCAGTTTAATATTGTGTCATTATTAATTTTCTCTCATTTTATCCCATAGTTGAGAGGAGTAGAAAGAAAAAATGAAGAAACAAGAATCTGATCTTCACTGTTTTTAGATTTTTCAGTTTTTAGAAATCCAAAGGAATTTCAACACTGATTTTATTCCAAAGCTCATCACCCAAAGAATAAATCTAATGAATTTACCTGCCTTTCTGCTTACCTTTTAAAGCTATATTTGATAGCATTTGTTCAAGTTAAAAATAAAAGTTTGTTTTAAATGAATAAGTTGAAATACAGAAAGATTCTTTTCAAGATAAACTCAAGTATCTGTTTTGCCTGTTTTTGTTTTGGCTCACTTTATTTTTATTTGGATCACTTTCTATCATTGGGGAAAATATAAAAATAATTTAAGTTATTTTATTTCAGCCCAAATAATTAAGATGTCAAGTTTAAAACAGTTTTTGTAAAGAGAAAGAGAGAAGTCAAATCTTTAGTTAGAACTGTGTTATCACTACATTAGTCACTAACCATGTGTGAGTACTGAGCACCTGGAATGTGGCTAGTCCAAACTGAGATGCGCTGTAAGTCTGAAAAAGAATGTAAACTATCTCATTAATAACTAGTTACATATATAAATTATAATATATTGGGTTAAATGAAATATAGTATTAAAATTGCTTTTATCAGTTTCTCTTTACTTTTTAAATGTGGCTGTTAGAACATTTTAAATTATCACATATCTTGAGTTATATGTGTATTGGACAGTAATGCTCTAGAGAATGATTTTGAAGAAAACCTGGTGAGTGGCTCAGCTTCCATGGAGGCTATGTGGTACTGCTGAGCCTACGCCCAGACTATAATTTAGAACAGTGGTTCTCAAAGTGTAGTTGGGCTGGCATCATCAGTATAACCTGTGAACTTGTTAGAAATACAACTTTGGGTGGTGGCACACTGGTAACATAGCTGGCTCCACATGGGAAAGATCCTGCATTTGTGTCCCAGAAACTCCCTGAGCATACCAATTGCATGCAAGAGTCCAGGATCAAGGTCTGCTGGGAATGGGGGTGGAGTGTGGGATGAGAATGCAATTGGAGGATTTCTGTCTCTTTGAAGAAATAAATGTTTAAAAAGAAATGCAAATTTTCAGGCCACATCTAAGACCTCTGAAACTTTGAGGGTGGGGCCAGCAATCTTTGTTTTATCAAGCTCTTCCATGGTTTCTGATGCATGCTAAGGTTTAAAAAACACTGGTTTTGAGCAATAGAGGAAGAAACTGAGACTCCCAGAAGGTGATATCACCCTTAATTCATTGGATTGGAGCAATTGCAGGTAGACTGACCAGGACAGCAAGGACTGGGCTGGGGAGACTAGAACTCACAGGGGCTGGGACACAGAGGGCAAAGGTTGAGTGATGGCAGAGGAAAAAATACATAAGGAAGAAAGCTAGATTCTGGAGGGTACAGACACTATGTATGTGAAGTCTAGAAACTACGAAAAATGATCAACACATGCTGTGTATACAAAAATCTGGAGTAGAAGACATGCACACGAGGAATGCATATGAATGTAGTGTGTCCAAAAGCAAGGTTGGGAAAGATAAATACTTCATTTAGGGTGTTGGTTATCTCTTAGAGGAAGATAGGGAGGGGATTCTGCTCAGGAAGGTTCCACAGTGGGTATCAACTGTATTTATAAGGTTACGTTTCTTAAAGTGGGTGATAGATACATGGGTGTCTGTAGGAGTGCTCTCTATCTTTGTGTAGGTCTGAAATATTCCCTAATACAAAAGAGAAATAAAAAGAGGAAAGGGAGGGGCCCAGCCAGGTGGCATGGTGAGTAAGGCAGTTGGCTCTTATAGGTAGACATTATGAGCAGGGAGTCCCAGTATGCCAAGAAAAGGGACATCTGACACATCAATCACTTCAAGGATGTAGCTAGACCCCCTGCCCAGAGAGGAGAGGTTATCTACTTTTATTACCTAAGCTTTCTTCAAAGAACCTAGAGACAGTTACTATCTTCCCTCCTACTGTTCCACATATGTGCACAGGAATTATCTGGGGTGTATTGGTCAATATCCCACTTCCCACTGGAGCAAAAAACTGATACAGGCAAAATCATCCTTGTGCACATGTACATATTTTCAAAGTCCACTTGGGCATGCTATTGACTTCTGCCAATCAGGTAATAAAATTCCCTTACTTGATAAGAAGTACACAGGCAGGCAAGCAGCTAAAAGCCGCCCCCCATCCAAACAAAAGAGCTGGCTACAATGACAGGCCTCCCCTTCTAAATATCCATGACAAGACTCCACAATAAAAGCACCATCTAACCCCATTCTCAGTGCAGTTATCCTCTGAACAGCTGCCCACCCACACACCTTTCTGACATGGTGTGCATTTTTTTTCTTGTTAAAAATCTTGGGAACCAGCAGTTAGAGTAATGACTATGCCATTGGACTCTCATGTATTCGACGGCAGTTCGAGTCCCGGACCCGGTGGCTTAAACTCACGCTGGGCACGTGTGCATGCGTGCCCAAGATCCCGAGAGGAGAATGGAGGAGAAGGGATTGTGGTGTGACCATTCCCCCTGGGAGGTGATTTCTCGCTTTCTGTCTCTCTGTCTCTCTCTGTCTGTCTGGCGAGCACACACGCCCTATAGCAAAAAAATTCTCGCCCCCCCCCAGAAAAAAACTTCACTTTTCTATTAAAGACTTCTCTTTTCACACTTAACTAGGTTGTAGCTTCATTCTATCTCAAGGCGGGTCTCTAACCTTAGAGACCTGGGCTCAAAGAACTGAGTATTTCAAAGGATTGCAACCCAGCTTCCCTGTCTGATAACAATACCACATGGCCAACTATGAGGTTTGAATCCCGGACCCAGTGGTTTGAAAAACACACCAAGTGTGTGTGTGTGTGTATGCCCAAAATCCCAAGAAGAGAATGGAAGAGAAGGGACTGTGGCATGGCCAACCCCCCTGCAGGGGTGCTTTCTCTCTCTCTCCTCCAGCGAACACATGTGCCCTACAGCAAAGGGGAAAAAAATGGGCTTAATCTTTGTTTACAGAGTATAAAAAAAACTGAAGTCATAGTTGACCAGAATAGAGAGAGGATCAAAAAAGGCACGGAGGTTTGAGGCTAGACAGCTTCATTTCTTCACTTAGTGAAGGCTTCCTAGATTTTCTCTTAGTAACACTGATACCTTCTGTCATACTTGATGGTAGTGCAGCTCATATTCTACCTTATACTAGCATTATTTTTTTTAATTGTGATGAAATCCACACAATAATATCAACCATTTTAAAGTGAACATTTCAGTGATGTTTAGTGCATTCACAATTTTATGCAACCACCCTCTTAATTTTCATCACCCCGAAACCCTTTACCAATTAAGTCGCTCCCCATCTCGCCCTCCTCCTAACCCTGAGAAATCACCAATCTGCTTTCTGTCTCTATGACTTTACCTATTCCAGACATTTGAAATAAGCAATTCATATCTAGTTCCTTCACTTAGCATGTTTTCAAGGTTCATTCATGTTCTAGCATGTAGTACTATTTCTTTCCTTTTTTTGGCTAAATAATGTTCTGTCATATGTAAACACCACAGTCTATCCATTCTGTTGAGAATTACACAGGCAGGCAAGCAGCTAAAAGCCGCCCCCCATCCAAACAAAAGAGCTGGCTACAATGACAGGCCTCCCCTTCTAAATATCCATGACAAGACTCCACAATAAAAGCACCATCTAACCCCATTCTCAGTGCAGTTATCCTCTGAACAGCTGCCCACCCACACACCTTTCTGACATGGTGTGCATTTTTTTTCTTGTTAAAAATCTTGGGAACCAGCAGTTAGAGTAATGACTATGCCATTGGACTCTCATGTATTCGACGGCAGTTCGAGTCCCGGACCCGGTGGCTTAAACTCACGCTGGGCACGTGTGCATGCGTGCCCAAGATCCCGAGAGGAGAATGGAGGAGAAGGGATTGTGGTGTGACCATTCCCCCTGGGAGGTGATTTCTCGCTTTCTGTCTCTCTGTCTCTCTCTGTCTGTCTGGCGAGCACACACGCCCTATAGCAAAAAAATTCTCGCCCCCCCCCGAAAAAAACTTCACTTTTCTATTAAAGACTTCTCTTTTCACACTTAACTAGGTTGTAGCTTCATTCTATCTCAAGGCGGGTCTCTAACCTTAGAGACCTGGGCTCAAAGAACTGAGTATTTCAAAGGATTGCAACCCAGCTTCCCTGTCTGATAACAATACCACATGGCCAACTATGAGGTTTGAATCCCGGACCCAGTGGTTTGAAAAACACACCAAGTGTGTGTGTGTGTGTATGCCCAAAATCCCAAGAAGAGAATGGAAGAGAAGGGACTGTGGCATGGCCAACCCCCCTGCAGGGGTGCTTTCTCTCTCTCTCCTCCAGCGAACACATGTGCCCTACAGCAAAGGGGAAAAAAATGGGCTTAATCTTTGTTTACAGAGAATAAAAAAAACTGAAGTCATAGTTGACCAGAATAGAGAGAGGATCAAAAAAGGCACGGAGGTTTGAGGCTAGACAGCTTCATTTCTTCACTTAGTGAAGGCTTCCTAGATTTTCTCTTAGTAACACTGATACCTTCTGTCATACTTGATGGTAGTGCAGCTCATATTCTACCTTATACTAGCATTATTTTTTTTAATTGTGATGAAATCCACACAATAATATCAACCATTTTAAAGTGAACATTTCAGTGATGTTTAGTGCATTCACAATTTTATGCAACCACCCTCTTAATTTTCATCACCCCGAAACCCTTTACCAATTAAGTCGCTCCCCATCTCGCCCTCCTCCTAACCCTGAGAAATCACCAATCTGCTTTCTGTCTCTATGACTTTACCTATTCCAGACATTTGAAATAAGCAATTCATATCTAGTTCCTTCACTTAGCATGTTTTCAAGGTTCATTCATGTTCTAGCATGTAGTACTATTTCTTTCCTTTTTTTGGCTAAATAATGTTCTGTCATATGTAAACACCACAGTCTATCCATTCTGTTGACAGACATTTGGGTTGTTTCCACTTTTTAGCTATTATAAACAGTGCTGTTATGAACATTTGTGTCCAAGTATTTGTGCATTATTTATATATATGGTGTCAACTCCTTCCACCCCACCACTCCCTGGACTGTGAACTTCTAAATGGCTGGGACCGTAAAAGTTTTGATTTATCTTCCTTTCCCTAGGCATTGAGTTTTCCACTTAATAGGTGCCCGGTTAATGTCTGTTAAGGTGAAGTAACTTGACAGTTGCACACACACCTCTTTGTTTTGGTCAACAGTGTTGATATTTTCAAATGTACTATCACATAAAATTCCTTACGACTAGAACCATACAGTAAGATTAAAGCCTTGTCACCTTTACTTAAACTGAAAGAGCAGGACAATAGACAGTTTTCTATACAGTGTGACTTGAAGGGCTTCAAACTGATTCTGATTTATTAGTGTTTGTGCTGTGTATATTGTTAATGTAGTATTGCTCTTAGACTTGGACAGGAAGGACCTCTGTCCTGAGTGCCATGCTTTAGAGTCCCCACTTTGGCCCTTTTCCAGCCACACCCCTCCCTACAGGAACAAGAAACACTGGGAATAAGGAGTACCTCCCTCTTAGACCAAGATCCATGTACTTGGGACACTGGAAAAGGGCCTGCGTGCTCTTCTTGGAGCTAACCTTGAGAAGGTTAACCACTTTGGCAGGGTATGTACTCCCAGGTCTAGGGAGTGCTTATATGTCCCAAACAGAGCACGGGGCCTAGTCTAGGAGCCAGAGCAGAGTCAGGAGCATTGGAGGGGGCGGGGAGAAGACACAGTAGCTCTTCCCATACCACTAGAGTAGGACTTAAGAAGTCTGAGAACTCTAAATCTCAACTATATCTCAACCTGGCTTTTCAGGTCATTATGAAGGTACTTTTGTCATGGAAATAGAGAAATCATTAAATAAAACATTTTATTAGTTGATTTAAATATTTCAAATATTTAGACATATGGATGGATCCCCAACTCAACTCCTGTTCTGAACCCTGAAAATGTAACAAATGAACCAGGCTAAATATCTGTTCTGTAACTCCTTTCCTTTCTCACTCTGAGTCACACTTTGGTACCTGAGCACAGTGGGCCCCTGGCTTCTGAAAATGGCTTTATCTGGTAAACCATCTTTTAAAATTTTTTAAAAGAATTATTTTATTTAAGTGTATTTAATTATTTTTTATTTTGACCAGAGAGGGACAGAGTGAGAGAGAAAGAGAGAGAGAGAGGTAAATTGAGAAAGCAAGCTGCCAGATCCGGGACTCAAACCAGGGTTGGCCATGTGGGAGCCCAGTGTCCTTAACCACCACACCACCTGCCAGACCTCCTGGTAGTCCATCTTGCTATAGGACTTGGACCCAGTCCCTGAGTCAGGCTGGAGTACAACCACCAGCCACCTTGCTGCCTCTACTCACCCTCAGCCACATTCCCCTGCATCCATCTCGCTCCGTTCTCCAGGTGTTCACACACAAAGCCTCTTCAACAGTACTTCTCTCCCACACCATTCCCCACCCAGAGAGCATCAGCTTGGTCAGGCACACCTCCATGGAGGCTCTTTCTATGAACTACAAGCTCTTAAGAACATTTTGCTTCTCTGACAACCTTCAGGTCTGCTCTCTCAATATCCTCTTATATTTCCCTCCTCACATAGCCAACAAACAGAGACAGACTACCGAACAAGCTTTATTGAATTTATTTGCTTTGCATATATTAAAAATCAGTAAAGCCAAAAGAAGCTAAAAACATGTTAGAATGTGGCCCTAGACATGCTTTCTTAAAACTTAACCTCTTAATTTAAAAACACATGTTTGTTGTTTTCCATGAAAAAGAAATTATTAATGGAGAGTTCTCACAGTGAGCATAGTCTAATAGAGGTCCACTCTGAGGAAAAGGGGATGCTAATCTACCAGGATTACCTGGGTCAAGGAACTGTTACCTATGGGAATATAAAGGCAATAAAATTCAATCAAAAACCTAGCATTATCCAAAAGGCAAAGATATAGTATCAGGAAAAACACATCTTATAGAAAATATGCAAAATCCAGCCTGTGGTTGTACAGTGTCACATTATATATACCATCATCAGCAAAACCCAGAACCACATGGTTAAATTCTTCTCTGGTCTTTGTGGCACAGGGCAACGCCCCACTTAGAAGGTAAAGGCACAGTGAGGTGTCCAAGCCTGCATCTCCATTTAAACAAAGTAGCACCAAAGTCTGAAGACTTTGTGATTTTACAGCAGTGCAAACATGTTTCCCATTTTATATAGGAAATGCTGGGTTGCCAAATGCTGGCCGTGACTGTACTGAAAGTTAGGCATTCGTAGCATTTCTTTCATTTTAATAATTATAGGGTTTGATACCTATTTCTAAGGCTTTTATGCTTAAATTGAAAATAGTCACAGTAAAGAAATCACTTCATATACTTTCTATATAGGAAATGCTGGGTTTCCAAATGCTGGCAGTGACTATACTAAAAGGCAATTCATGGCATTTATTTCACTCAAATAATTATAAGGTTTAATACCTATTTCTAAGGGTTTTTGCTTAATCAAAAATGATCACAGTAAAGAAATCATGCTATATATTTTCTATACAGGAAATGCTGAGTTTCCAAATGCTGGTAGTAACTATATTGAAAGTTAGGCAATTCATGTCATTTATCTTATTCAAAGAATTATAAGGTTTAGTACACATTGCTAAGGTTCTTTTGCTTAATTAAAAATGATCATAGTCAGAAATCACTACATAGAATCAATGCAGCTATTGGCAATGATTTAAAATGCTAATGCTCCACCCAAGAGCTATTTATTGTTTGCTCTCCATGCTTTGGCTTTCTTCTTGGCCAGGGAGAACCAGACAGGCTCAGTTGGCTCAGTTGGGTGTTTCAGCACAGCTGGGACACTTGAAGATCTTCTGGTTTCTCTTGCCATGCCGGACGCTTGACATGCCTTCTGCTCTTTGAATCCAACTGGAACCACAGCAAATAATACACGCAATAAGAAGTCCCAGAGATATTGGGGTATGGTGTTTATGAGATTCAGTGAAATGTTTCTTTCTATCAGGTTTATTCTGATCTCTCTGCTCTTAGTGCTTTCCAGCCCCTGCTCTCTTTCGCACCAGGCTTTTACAAGTCAATGCATGGGCAATGCCATGAGCATTATGTTAAAGGGTACAATCAACATGGCTATGGTTACAGAAGCCTGGACATGGGAAGGCATGAGAGGTAATACCTACAGCTGTAACCGCCAACCTTAAGGTGGTTTTTATTGGATTGTCATAGACTTTTTTTTTTTTTTGAGAGGTTTTTGCTATAGGGTGCATGTGCTCGCCAGACAGGCAGAGAGAGACAGAGAGAGACGGAAAGCGAGAAGTCACCCCCCAGGGGAGATGACCACGCCGCAGTCCCTTCTCCTCCATTCTCCTCTCGGGATCTTGGGCACGCACGCACACGCGCCCAGCGTGAGTTTTAAGCCACCGGGTCTGGGATGCAAACCGTGGTCGACTACGTGGGAGTCCAGCGACACAGCCATTACGCTAACTGCTGATTCCCATAGACTTTTATACTGAAACCAGAGGTGAAACATATTGTATCTTTTCAGTCTTTAAAATTTCAAACAAGATAATGTGATTTTTGTCTTGCCAGTCTGTGATATCATGTGAAATGAAATGACCGACAAGCCAAGAAGTCCACCCAGTAAAGGGTGATGCTAAACAATATTGTACCAACTGCTCTGGCCATGCGGACAACCTATTTCCCAATTGCAGTCCTTTCTTCATCCTGTTCTATGGTTGATTGACTCATCAGCTTGCACATATCCAGTGGTTCTCAATCTTGGCTACATAATTAGAATCATCTCTGGCTCTTTTTTTTTAAGATGTATTCATTTATCTATTTATTTATTTGTTGTAATTTTCAAGTCACCAAGTCTGGGACTCTAACCATGGTCAGCCATGTGGGAATCCAGCACTTGTCAGCCACCATACCACCCGCTGGCCCCATCTGTGGCTCTTTTAGAAACACCAATGCCCATGCCATTTCCTAAACTAACTGAATTAGAATATCAAGGGATGGAGCCAGGGCCATCTGCAATTGAAGGTAAAAAATACACTTCAGGTAATTCTATGCACAGAGAGTTGGAAATGACTCAACAGGAGTATAGTGCCCAGGAGGCTATTAACAGCTGTAAGCAGGTAAACTGCTGCTATTTCACAGACAGATAATGGGTTTCTGATTTCCAGTCTAATTTTTTCATGAGGGGGATTAAGAGAGAGGACAAATATGGTTCAGTATAAAAACATCCTCC